AGTTTATCGAAATAAGATCGAAAATCAAAAGAAATTGATTGAACATTTTAAGATTCTCGTGACAAGTCTAAATCATGCGATACCAGAGTTTTGTTTAACGTTAATGCGCCACCGGCGCCCCATCTACTCTTGTATATTATAAAAAAACCATTGAGATTTTAACGTTAAGATACGTATTAGTAGTATTTTGGCCAAATTTTACGTTAACAGTTAACGTTAATGTTTGATTTTTATTAGTTAGGTTCAGTGATGTAAATTGGATCGGTGCGCATGTATCGGTGCTTCAACTGGTTAGGTCACATGAAAACCTAAAAATATGGTGATTTCGATCCAGCATGAAAATCCACTATCACAGCTCGCTCGTTATCACGAATAAACTTTCTGTTTTTTTTTTCGTTTTCCAACTTGTAAAGATGTATGTAAATTTGATCACATTTAGGCTGCTGTCAATAGAAGCTGGCAGATTTCTTACTGATTTTATTTCTTGGACGAATTTCTTTTTTTATTAATTATATAATTATAGGTCAGAGTATTGGATATCACAACAAAAACATTGGTGTTAATATTGTAGAATTTATATTGCAGACAATAAACCCGTAAGATATTTATCTTTTAGTTGTGTCTATTATTTAATTTCTTGTCTGTTTTTCTCTTATGGAATTATATACTTTTTTTTAAGAGTCGAACAATGCATGAGCAAGGTAAAAAACATAAAGAGAATATTCTGATCAATTTATTAATTTAATGCTTAAATTATTATATTTAAGGCCGCAATGAAGCAATATAGAAGAGATATAGCATTTGAAACTCCTGGTGTTACGGTACTTCATATATAAAACCTCCAACGAATTCAACAATCTCAACAGTTAATGATTATGGTTATCATGGTTCAATTATAAAGAATCAGCTTCATCACATCATACTTCAACGACATATTTACCAGATCATCAATAGTAACGCCAATAAGTGAGTCAACAGTGGAAGATAGAGGAGATGGTACTGAACCTATTATAGAAGAATGGAGACCGGTAACTCCACCACCATTACCAATTACTCATAATGATTCATCTATTAAGAAAGAGTTTAAAGATGATCCCACATTAGATTCAAAAACACAGCACGCATCAACTACTCAGATTGATGAAGATGAAGAAGATCCTGATGATTTAAGAAATTTTAAAATTGTTGAAAAATCTTTTCTAATTGATAATTATGAAGAATTAGATCAAGAAGTTATAAAAATAAAAAAAGAGGAAGGTGTAGATGAAGGTGTAGATGAAAAAAGTAGTATGGTTTTCAAAAAAAGAAAATTTGGTGATGGTAGTAAATAAATCAAGAAATATTAGAAAAAAAATTAATTAAAAAAATTATTTATAATATAATCATTTGTACGTTTTACATAATAAAATTAATAATTATTCTTAAAAAACACCTCAAAGTGCACGGCTGAAGTAAGCGGTGGGATGTCGTAGATAATGTAATCATCCAAATTCTGTGACAGAATTAATCAGTTATGGCCAGCGATAAAAAAGTAATGTAAATACGAAAATCAAACTATTCTTAATGATCATGTATCAATGTATCAGGGAGTTATGTTGTAACTTTATATTCTGAAAAAATCGATATGAATTTTAAATTAATGATATTAAATACATTTTATTTTACTCAAATTATTGTGTTGACTCGTTTCGGATTAATAGTTATCGCGTTGATCTTTTAAAATATATTACTTTAACGTTATATATTCATATACAGTAATTATCACGAATTAAGTTTCGTATCCAGAAACTCAATGGAAACGCATTTCATCAAATAGGCACACGTTTTTCTTTTAACCAAAAATTGTTGTTTTTCTTTTATTACGTAGTAAACCAATATTTTGTTTATTAAATTGCTTCTACATAATATTAACTGACTTGAAAAAATAGATTGACCCTTGCTGGAATCGAACCAACGGTATCAAAGTCCTAAGACTAAGAATCCAACCGACTTAGGGCCTTTACATAACGCCAGAATCATACAACGACTATGGCGCTAAAACCTCGGGACTAAGGAAACGAAAGGAACTATCCTCCTTGAGGATCAGAGAATAGAACGGTACGAAACTTGAGAAGGATGTCGTACCCACA